TGTATGTTTTTGGCGGGCTTAGAGGCTCTCCTGTCAGTTATCGATGTCAGCCGGCTGCTTGCTCATGCTGACATGGACCCCCCCCCTTAAAGAAAACGTGTCGCTTGAGGTATTTCGGAGACCTGTGACTGATTTCACACCAGTGTTTGGTGTATAGCAATCAGGACAATGTAGTTTTGGTTTGCACTGGTGATTTTTATGAGCATGTTTCACTTTCTAGGTGTTGTGACATATTTGATGTCCCTCAGTGCAGTGATTCAGATCGTTGTGGCTGGAAGCAAAGGCTCCACTCAACTCCTGAAAAACGCTGCATCCAAGGTTTCCATCTTTACAGGAGAAACTGATGTTCCGAGGCTGGTCTGTCAGAATTAGCTGTCGTGCTTTCTTTGTTGACCGTATGGATTCCAGAGTTGGACAAGCTGTTCAGGACTTGTGGGCCACACCTTATTCTCTGTATTTCTTACTCCTTTGCTCCCCTACCATTAACAGCAATTCCTGGCCTTAACCTAGTTTGTGCATTGCCCAAGATTAATAACAATACAGTGAAATTTATTTTCACTACGTTGTCTCTAACGTGGACTTTTTTTTTTTTTTTTTTTCAGTGCTCAAAGTAGTTGAAAACCTTGGTGTGAGCTATGTAAGAGGTAATGAGCAATACAAAACTAAGCTGGAGGGTGAGCTCCGGAAACTTAAGTTTCCCTACAAAGTAAGTAAAAAGTTAAACAAAACCAAAACAGAAGTGATGAAAGACTACTCCTAAAACTTATATTCTGTTGTTTTGTCAGATATGTGGTTTTTCTTTGAGAGTATATATTTATTTCTTTAGGATAACCACTTTATTTAACAGTCTTGCATTTATTCTCTTAAATATGGGTATTAAATACACTGTTGAACAGCAATAATAAATTAATTTTGGATTTTTTAACCTGGGAGCGATTATTTCTCTGAAATAATAATAATATGTTCTGTAGGCTTTGGTTGAGGATGATTATGATGCAAGAAGAAAAGACCATATCTCTCATTTCATACTGCGCCTTGCTTACTGTCAGTCGTAAGTACTTTTTGGATTATGCTGTACGCTTAATTTTAAATAAATACAGACACTACATTGCTTTACTATAGACATAGATATTTTAGGGTTGCATGCCTACTAAATAGAAAGGTAGGCTCAGAGAGTTTTTTTGCTAGGATACTGATTTTAGCCACGGTGAAAAGGGATACTTGAGGTCTAAACTGACATCCAGATTTTTCTAATAATTAAAAAAAAAATATGAACTTTGAATTTTACTCATGGAACATTGATTTAAGTTTCTTCCTTTTGACATATTCTTTGAGATTAAAGCACACCAGTATTAAGTGTTTGTTAGGCATTTGGAGATAAATTAATTTAAATTAGCTGTTGTATATTCTTGAACTGCTGATTACTGACTAAAGCCCTGACTTATGTAAAAAGGCTTTATAAAAGAGAGAGCCTTGTTTCTGAAAACTAAAAATAGTGTCTGTGTTTGAAGTTTCCTCTGTTGACTCTGCTTTTCTTCCAAATTCATTGCTTTGAATGGTTGCACTGAAATTTTTGTGTTGTGTGAAATTTCAAGCACAAAGTTGGCCTTGTCAAGTGCATTCCTTCTACTTTAGCTGTAGGTTTTGGGTGAAATTATAGAGGTTGTCACTGTTTTGTATCTGCTAGCAGCTTTGTTATGCATCAGTGTGAACTGAGTCCTTGCCATTGCAGTCTTTTTTTGTAATTTCAGCTGACAAATAGGAAGTTTACTGTTTTGGATTATATGTTGGGATAGAGTTAATTTTTTTCATAGTAGCTGGTATGGGGCTATGTTTTGGATTTGTGCTGAAAAGTATTGATAAAATAGGTTTGTTTCAGCTTTTCCTGAGCAGTACTTACACACAGTCAAGGCCTTTTCTGCTTCTTGCACCACCCCACCAGCAAGTAGTCTGGGGGTGCACAGGGAGTTGGGAGGGGACACAGCTGGGACATCTGACTCCAACTGACCAAAAGGGTGTCCCATACCATATGGCATCATGCTCAGTGTAAAAAGCCGTGGGAAGAAGAAGGAAGGGGGATGTTCAGAGTAATGACGTTTGTCTTCCCAAGTAACTGTTATGTGTGATGGAGCCCTGCTGTACTGGAGATGGCTGAACACACACCAGCTGATGGGAAGCAGTGAATGAAGTCCTTGGTTTGCTTTGCTTGTCTGCATGGCTTTTGCTTCACCTATTAAACTGTCTGTATCTCAACCCATGAGTTTTCTCACTCTTACCCTTTCAATTCTCTTGCCTCATCTCACTGAGAGTGAGTGAACAAGCAGCTGTGTGGGCCAGCTGGGGTTACACCATGACAAATCATTAATTCAATTGCACTTTTAAGTTGCAATATAGTTTATTTAAATTAGGTGAGTGTGGTAGAAGACGTTATACTTTAATAGCTGACATGAGTGAAGTGCTGCTCTATGTGGATACAGATTTGTAAGCTAAAACAGACCAGGAGGGTGAGTAGGAGGGATTGTGCTCCAAGCCAAGATATGGAGCTGGAATGGATGAGGCTTTTCCTTGGAATGGATCATGAGACAGTTGAGAGTTTGGGGCCATGTGTTGGAAAAAAAACCCAAGATAGCTAACAACATGGTGGGTGCCTGCTACAGACCATTTGATCAGAACAGGAAGTAGCAGAGGCCTGAAAAACCTCCAGATGCTGAAGATGGTTTGCTGATTTATGTGTTTGATGAGCCAGCTAGGTCTGTGATACCTGTGCAGTGAGGAACAGGTGTGTGAAGATCAATAGCAGGCACAACTGCCAGGCCGTTGTGTTTACAGACTTGTTTTCCTGCAACAGCACATTCTTAAGTTTCCAGTTGGCCAACAGTGCCACCCAGGGGTATGAGTTTACATCAGCTTTTTTTTTTTTTTCCTCCTTTTTTTCCCCCCCCTACTTCTCGTCAGTCCTCACAAATTGGATTGTTTTGGTTTGGTTTTTACATGGTCTGAAGTGGTCAGATCCACCATTCTTGTCAGTTAGATTTGTAGTGTCATTGTCTCTTGATTGTCCAAGACTTTAAAGCTCATTCTCATATAATGTAAAAATGTTGCTAAGATATGGTATGTACAGTCTTTAGTGAACAGTCTCACTCACACCCTTCTTTCAGACCTCATGTAACATCACCTTTATCTGTCAAGTGCTTTAGTGGAAGGGGTTTCTGTCGATGGCAGGGGGGTTGAAACTAGGTGATCTTTAAGGTGCCTTCCAACCCACACCCTTCTGTGATTTTGTGAATCATAGGATAAATGTGAGTATTAGTCTTAGGTTCCAGATTTAAGAGCATTTTCATGTCTTTCTAACGTACTTTTATGTTTATGCATCGTAAGAAATACTCTAGTCTTTCTACCACTCCTTAGGGTGAAGAGAATTTTTTTCCCTGAGTGCTGTTCCCTGCTATGAAGGAGGCTGTTCTTTCACATTACTCTTGAATTTGAAAATCTACTAATCTGATTTAAGTTGTTGAGGATTCTGCACATGACATAGTTAAGTAGCAAAAAAATTAGGAGATGTTCCTAATGTCTACAGCTACCTGTAACTGTCTCATCCTCAGCAGGAGCTTGGTTAGTTATCTAAAACAGTGACATTGCTTTTCAGTTAAGCTTGCGTAATAAGTATTATTACTGATATGTGTATAGAGTGAGAGTGCATATTTTGAAAAAATGTAAGTCATGAATATAAGATGTGATTTGGTTTTAGAAATTATGTAAATTTTTTTAAGACATAAGGAAAAAAACCAACATAAATAATGCCCTAATGGTCATGTTCCTAGGAAAGTCAGTTTTAAAGTATATCTACAGTAACATCAGCCAGCTCCTCAGCTAATCTGTCAACTGTAGGAAGAATCCAGGTTTGTATTGTATTAGAGATAACAGTAACATTTCCTTGTTTTGGTAACTTAAGGGGGTAGGTGGGATTACAGCCTGTGTTTTACTCTCCTGAAGAAGTGGAAGAGCAAGAGACTGGCTGGTCTTCACAGTAACTAACTATATAAGCTTGATTTTTATTTTTATTTTTTTTTTCCTTTTTGCTTAGAAAACCAAATTCAGCATAGAGGAAAAGAGTAAAATTGCCACATCCTAAAATTTTGTTAATGTTTACAATGATCACAGAAGAACTGGAGAAGATCAGTCATAAAGGCATTAACTTCATTTAAAGTTGCACAGATTATTAATACATCTCAAGCACTGAAACTGGTCACAGGGTTATACTTCAAACTCTATTTCTCCAAACCCTATTTCAAGCAGAGGTTTTGTCCACAAAAACACAAACAACCCTGTTGTAATTCACTGATCCTCTCTGGGAAAGATACTTAAGTATTGTAAGAAGGTAATGTAAGACTGCGGTATTTCTGTGCTCTGTTAATTGTCATAGCAGTAGACCACAGTGTAGGTCTCAGGAAAAAATTTAAAATAATGCCCTGTAACAGTGAAATAAAGCATAATCTGCATTCTGTGCTTGTACTACAGAGTGGCTTTTGTTGCTACTATTCCGGTACCTACTTGCTATAGCTTTGAGTAATGTGCTGATGCCTGGGAATCTTGACTGCTGGGATGTAAAGAGGAATATGAGTACTTAAGAGTTCATAGAGATTGGTTTCAGTGTTGTTTTTCTGTTACCTGCTGGCTCCTATCCCTGTGTTCTTGTTTATTCTCCTACTTGCTCATCTGCAGTTGCTAAACCCCTTTTGCTCTTTTGTCAAGTGTTAGATGTTTTATTTGTGTTCCTCACCCAAGTTCATAGTTATGTATTTTTCTTTTGCCTACTTCCACACTCTGTTGCCAAGCACAGAGCACTGTTGTTAACAGTGTCTGAGATGGTTGCATGTTCCTTCACCTGGAGATACCCCTAAAGTGAGAATTAAAAGAAGTAGGCTTCATGAGGTATTTGCTCATCAGATTGTGATGTTAATTGTACATTAAATAAATATTTTGCCATGTGGAAGAAAAAAAGCTATTCTTTAAATATTGGAGGAGAATGTTATCTGCAGTTGGTTATTTTTATCTGAAGAAGGAAATGATGAGTACCATTTAAAACAGACTAACAGCTTTGATTCCCACAAAGCAATTTTTAGAGTTGAGATTGACTACTTCTGTTTTTCCAAAGCATCTGCAGTCATGTTTCTTTGTGTATTGTCTCTTCACAAGTCTTTCTGATTGAGTGATCCTTCCTGAAAGGTTTCTGCCTTCTCTTCCAAGCTCCTCAGTTTGTGGATCCCATGCCTAAGTCAGGATTGCATTTAATGCTGTGTTCACTAGATATGATGTCTGGTTTATAAGGAAAGAGAAAATGCATAATCAGAAAAAGTATTAATTTTTTATTATTTTTTTTGCAGTGAGGATCTCAGGCGTTGGTTTCTTCAACAAGAGATGGATCTCTTGCGATATCGCTTCAATGAACTAACTGACAGTTTAAGACAAAAGTTCCTGGAATATGTCAACTTATCATTTGAAGCTGTAAGTGTGTTACTTTCTGTGTTTGTGTTATGTTGCGTGTCTTTTCTTTTTAAAAAAATTATTAAAATCGTTTTAGTACTATTTAAAAAAACAAAAAGTGAAGTTATGCCTTTAAAAACACAACCACATCTGAGTTTACCTCTGAGTAAAGTAACAATGTTTACAAAAGCTAGTGGGTATTTTGCAGTCAAGGCTCTGGATGGGTTAGAACTACTGTATGTTCTTCAGATGTGACATTTGTATGTTTTATTTGTCTGTAAGGGCAAATGAAGCTCAGAATTACCTTGCTTTCTGTGATTTGTAAGCAATGATAATTCACCTTAAAGGTTTAAGTGATAACAAAGCAATGGCAGTGTTTGTTTCTAACCTGAAGCATGTGTGCAATCCATTCTCATTAGATTACTATCTTTAGTTAGAAAATAGTTTTCGCCAACATACATCTTAATTCGTAAACTTGGCTCTAGCACTTAATAAGATGTTGGCATGTTGCTGTGGTAACCAAAGCAAACCACAGTGACTTGGGGACAAATGTACCATTTGATGAGTACTGCCATCTTGAAAGGTATATGAAAACAAAAACCAAACATGCATTCAAAAAAAGCTTAAGATGTCTTTTGAGGACGTAATTAAAATTTAATAGTACAAGTATGAAAATCCTGTATGGATTGCACAAGAATGTAAGATATTATCACTGTGGGTTAAAAAGAATTTAGATTCTGCTTGTTTGTGCATACTGTGTGAGTTACTGAATTATAGATGTGTAACCAAAATTATGATGTAGTTTAAAAAAGAGAAGAAAAGCTGGTATTAGCTGGTATTTACTTGCGAGAAGGCGGCCATCAGCTATTCAAAGTGTTCAGATTAAAGGTGATTACTTCAGTACAAGGAATTTGTGTTTCAAAATTTGGTATTTGTTATTTCAAAATGATTACAGTCTTTGTCAAAATAAGCTTATCTGCATTTACATATAGTGTAGAAATGTGAAGCTTAGTAAGTTTTTTCTTGAAATCTTTTTACAAAGATGTCTCTAGATTAAGTTAGTCCATCTACAGTATTTTTGTGAGAAGTCTCTAGAACCTGGACTTCCAGAAAAAACTGGAAGTTTTATTTGAGTTTGTATTTGAAACACTTTTGAATTACTAACAGGTAGATGCATTTTAGTCACTTGTCAGGAAATACCTTTGCCCAATCTGTTTTCTAACAAGTGTGGAAGATGCCTGGATTTGTGCTGCTCAGTGTACTAGAGCATTGGTTTGGTGCTTAAAATTTTACACTACTTTGAAATACTAGTATTTATGTCACCCTGGCCATTTGTGCCAGAATGGGCAAGAGAGAGAGCTTGTAGTATTGAATAAAATGTGAAGAAATGAAGCAGGAAGAAGGAAAGCAATAATAAAAGCGAGGGAGTAGGAGCGATGGGGTGATGGACCTCGTCCTTGCTCTCTCACAGTGTTGTGCGTGTATGGGATTCCTTGTTATGGCTTCTGTATGTTTTTAATTAATTACACTTTTATTTTAAACTCTGGTGTAGTTTGTTACTGAGATTGGACCCTGCTTGAACCTTTGACAACTGATATTCCTGTTAGTTGTAAATGGTGGGGGGGAAGGTTACATAAATAGCAGTGGTCTTTTTCTTTTCTCTAAGCATGGATACCTTAGGTTGGATAAGAAGAGACGAAGGTTTTGCCCAAGAATAGAGACCAACAAAGATTATTTGAAATTTAATGCGATTACTTCTCAGTTCAAAAAACTCAGTGGTCTCAACTCTTCAGAGAATGTATTCAGCATCTCTAACAATGACTTGTTTCAGCTTTTGCTTTTTGGCCAAAGTTTGAGACAGTAATGAAACTATTTTCTTTTTTCCTTTTGGTTGAAGTATTCTGTGTAGTGTCAGGCTCTTAATCAGAACACCAAACCTCAACTTTAATTAAGTGCTGTTTTGCCTGCAAATAGTACAAAAATAATACAGACTAGTGTAATATATAGTATCTGAGACTAGTTGTCTTAACTACTTCATTTCTACAATTTATTTTCTAGTTTTCTATCACAATGACAGCAGAACCATGGAATGGTTCTTAAGGTATTTTAGAATTATTTCTGTCTATTCTATACTTTATGTCCTTTAAAAACAAAATTAAAAAAATAAAAAAAGGAAAGTTTTTGAGGGACAGTGCTGTCATCATCCAGGTAAATACTGAAGCTTTTTGTGTAAGGCATGTAATTTTCAACTGTCAAGGCACATTAAATAGTCTTTGTGCGAAGTCAGTCACATAGGGAGCACAGGAAATCCATAAGCATCACCCAGGAGAGGTAAATGCTGACATTTAAGGTGACAGAGCCCATCAAAGAGAATATGCAAACACAGGTGTGCAGTTGAGATTTACATTAATTTAGAAGATTAAAGCATTAAAATCTTACTATAAATGAGTAATTATAGTAGTGATGCCTGACAGTTTCTGGCAGTAAAAGCCACTAATAGAGATTTTAAAGATATTTAAAGGGAAATACAGTGAATATTTTAAATGTAATAGCCATTGAGGAAAATATTTTAATCTCAAAGTAAGTGATTCAGAATATGAAGGAATTATATAAAGTAAATGGTTTTACAGGTAAGTGACAATTGGGCTTTAACTAGAAAGTATTTTTTTTCTTGGCACAAGCTGTGGGCATCTGATGTTTTCCTATGTTTAAGTTAGGAGTGCCTGATATTATTTCTGCCAGATTGTGATAAAAGACCTGTTTGGATTCAGTAGACATTATGCCCAAGCCCCGTTTTGTGATGTAATTTTATCAGTGAGACTGGTTTTCTGTGTGGTTTTCCACATGCTACGTATGCACCCGCTCAGTTGTCCCACTGTTCCTACCCCAACCTTTTAATTTGTCCCTCTTTTTTCTTCTTATAGCTGCTTATGCATGCCTGTATCAGAAGCCCTTGAGAAATGGCCATGCTTCTTTGTTATAATAGTACTTTTAGATCTTTATAGTGTGAGAGAAATCCTAGTTTATTGATTTGATGTTCTGTTTTTCATATAATATTTCTGGCAACTGCCACACCTGTTACTAAAAAGCTTCCAGTGTGTCTTAAGTTTGTGGAAAACTGCCAGGTATCTGGTTCATTGGTGTTCCTAAAAATTCCTGAATTAAGGTGTTGAGCTTTCTATTTTTCACGTATTTGGTCTTACAGAACCTAGCAGTGGGGAAGTAATTAATCATGATGATGATGATGAAACCTGAAGCCATAAAAGGAATGTAAAGTATTTTTTACCTTCACTCTGTATGCTGCTTATCTTTTTTTTGCCCTTCAAGGCTGTTTCTATGCGTCTTATGTTGCACAGTAACTCCTACTTAGGCTCAATTTTTGCATGCTTCTGAAATACAGATAGGCACCTCTAATATATACTGCTTCTTTCAGCAGTTGCTTTAAGATATTTTGGAAAAATAAGGAAAGTATTCTCTTTACACTGTTATTTACACGTTTGTTTTTTTTTCCTAATATATGCCAACTTGTGCTTTGTAGCATTAAAGGATCAGAAGTTATCTAGTCATACTGGTAGCTTTTCTCAATAGAAGTGGAGTCCCCCAGATTGGCAACTAATGCTAGTTACTGTAAATCAGGATTTAGAGTAATGTTTCCTTAAAAGAAAACTACCATTACCTTCTTTTTCATTCCTTGTGAATTTAACTTACATGTTAATTTCTGTAATTATTAACACTTCCTTGTTCCCGTGCACTTTACTCTTTCCTCACCTGTTTTTTAATGCTTCTGTTACCCAAAATGACAATGAATAAAACTTTTCATTGCCGTCCCATAGAAGTTTTCATATAGGAACTGTCACTTAACTAATTTTTAGACAGTTGCCACATATTCTGAGACCTCTAACTTCTGATTCCTGTCATTGTTCTGACATACTCATGTTCCTGTTTCTCCTGTTTCTCAAATCGGTCTAGTCCTCCTTCTCATTTTACAAACTAACCCTCTGTTAACTTATGTATCTCAGCCTTTGGTGTTCCTACTTCCTGTACACAAATCTTGGCAAAGGTGATGCCTGATTTTGCCTTCAGTTCTGGGAGTTTCTTCCACATTATAGTCTGCTTCAGTGAAACTGATAATGCACTTAAGCTGTTAATAATCATTCTTTTGATAGGATTTAACTTGTGAAGAAAATTGAAAATTCACTGTCTGACCCCAGTCAGCATTTAATTGTGATCTGCTCTATTTTATAATGATGCAGGTTAGTGATGAAAACATTAAATATTTTAAATAGTTGGGGAACTTGGCCTAATACATTTCTATTTTTGAGTTAAATTCTTCCATGCATGTTCTATGAGATGCTTTGATTTGTTACTGTGCTTTTCCAGGAATTTAACTTGGTACACTAGAATGTGGAATGGAATAGAATGTGAAGTTTTATCCTAAATTTTTCAGTTTTGTTCTGGTCATCATCTTGATGGTTGGGATTTTCCTGCCTTCATCTTGTCTTCAGACTGTTCCTTGAAATAGATGTATTTCCTCTTTGTTGCTTTCACAAGAAATGAAAATTAATAATTATTATCATGTCTTTATCTGTGGTATAAGGATGACATATAATTGAATTTAGATTCCTTGCAATGCTTCTGTTCTGTGTTACCTTTCTGCAGTGTGCAGAAGAAATAAACTTCAAAGTGTAGTATATTTCTCCTTGAATACATCTGTCTGTGTTTCCTCTCCACATAGCATAAAGAATCCCATTTAAATTATTGTAGAATTTCTTCACCTCTGAAGAGCTTCTTGAAATTTAAAAAATATTATGGCTTTTTGGATAACTTATAGGTTAGATGCCCTTACATTAGGGTAACTGGCAGTTGTTGCAAAATTAACCGTACTCATTTTTTTAATGCTGTTATGAAGAACATTATTTAATTAAAAAGCTTTGGATCGTGGTATTGGGGAAGGAACAGCAGATGGGAATAGTCACTTGGGGGAGCTAATGATCTGTAGTGCATTTGTCAGCATTTGACAG